CGCTCTGAGTTACAGATATGATCACGAGCACCAGTACAGTTCTCTATATTTACATATATGTAACCACATCCTGGTCATTTCAGCTCGTTTAGATAGAGATCAGTAGCAAAACAATGTTTAATGTGGTTTGATCTGTTTGATTCAATTCAAATCACTCGAATTCACTGAATTGATCCAAAACTCATCAACTCACTTGCAGAATCACTCCGAAAGTTTTTTGTGTGATCTTCATTTTGTAAATAACAAAGGATATTTGTATAATATAAAAATATTTCATAATATTTAATACTATTAAGTTACATATGTATATTATAATCTACAACTGTATGTATTAATGTTCAAACATTTGGGATTAGTAGGATTTTTTGAAAATGTCTCACCAAGGCTGCATTTATTTGTTTAAGAATACAATAAAACAGCAATATTTTGAAATATAATTACAATTTAAAATAACTGTTGTCTATTGTAATGTATTATAAAATGTAATTGATTTCTGTGATCAAAGCTGTATTTTCAGCATCATTACTCCAGTCTTCAGTGTCACATGATCTTCAGAAATCATTCTAATATGCTGATTTGCTGCTCAAGAAACATTTCTGATTATTATCAATGTTGAAAACAGTCGTGCTGCTTCATATTTTGGTGGAAATCATGATACATTTTTTAAATTTTCAGGATTTTTGATGAATAAAAAGTTCAAAAGAAAAGCATTTATTTGAAATAGAAATCTTCTGAAACTTTATAAATGTTTTTAATGTCACTTTTGATCAATTCAGGGTTGTAGTTCAAAATTTTAATTAAAACCAAAACCACACACACCATGGTCAAAACTAAAACCATAAAAAACATTTTTGTTAACTTGATTGAAATGAAATGAAATAAAAGAACCCCTATTATATAGTATGAAAATATATTTATAATATATAAAAAATTACATTATAATATTGGTTAAAAAAACGTTTCGTAACACTGACATGTATGTAAATCAGTGTTATTGATTATTGCTAGGATTGTCATATTGATGCATCTAAGCAGATTATTGAATGTCATCCTTTCTTCTATTCCTTGACCAACAGTAACATTAAAGAAAACTTGATAATTTAAATAACTAACATTTTAACTGTATTTTGTTCCTTGAATTAAACATCTTGAATCTCCTTGGCAACAGGGGCTGTTCAGATGAAATGATGATTCCCCTTAACGAAACAAATCACCTTTTAAGCCTTTTAATACGTAAACACAGAGATGTTTGTTGAATGTAATAAAATGTCAAGATGCAATTTGTAGCTATATCCACCAGCCCTAATGATCTCACCTGAAGAGAAGTTTCTTAGATGTTCCATTTATAGCATATGTGTTTTAATACGTAACAAAGCCGAAGTACGTGAGCGTTTCATCCTATAGATAGCAGCTCCGCAGTGTATTTGAGGTAGGTGCGTGGGTGCTGTGACTGTCTATGTATAGACGCATTTCCAGCACTGACATTCTCACTGCAACCTGCGCGCAAACACAAATGTACACTAAAATCTACCGGGCCGCACACACGAATGCTTCATTTTATATAACCAGCAAATCCAGAGACTCAGGCACTGCGTCTGCTCATTTCAACATCTTTCCTGGAAGAGAAAGGAAAGGAATTTGCCATCGAGTCATTATGAGAGGAGGAGCTCAATCAAGTCTGTGCTGCCTGTCAGTCAGGTCTGTCCAGTCCATTAGAGGCCTTCAGATGTATATTTAAATTCAGCACAGTGTTATCTGACCGCCATTATTGCTGTATCACACAGGCGCGCAGGTTTAGAGTAAGTACTCTTTCACTTATAGGAAAAAATTAGAGCATATGCATAAACATACACATTTGTGTTTCAAACCCCAGTCAGCTGCCTAGATGGTATTTTTAGACACTGTAGGAGCGCTGCAATTGATAGTCTATTGAAAGCAGTGTGTTGTAGCTTGTTCCCGTGATGTTTTGGAGTGTTAATATGACAGGCTTGTGGAGGGTGTGTCGCTAGACAAGTTGAGACGCCTGTTTGATGTTGACACTCGGTCAGTTGTTCAAACTTTTGAGATTGTATCATCAGATTATGCACATGCGTTATTGCTACGGGCTCATTGAGGAAAGCCGTTTGTCCGGTTTGTCTGTTGTTGTTGCTGTGCAGGAAGGGGAATTTCACTCTCACGGTGTGTAAGAACAGGTTAAATGGTAGTGTAGCGAGGAAAAATGATGGATTACTTGTAAAAGCAATGCAAGTTGACCTGTTTATGTTTTTTATGAGCTCTTTAATATCTCAAGTCTTTCTTCTTGACAGCAGTGAGATTAAATGAGGAACAAATGGAGGCTTTTGCTTGAGTGTCGTGATTCTCCTGAGAAAAAGAACTCAGAAAAACATCTCAGTAAACATCTCAATAATGTCTCAAACTGAGGTTTGCTAGAAGATACCAGAGTTTGCCATCAAAAGTCAGATATTTCACTGTGAACTCAAAAGTTATCATGAAATTCTTGTAAAACCAAATTATCTGATCTGTATCACATTATTTTCATAGCTCTTATACTGTATATTATATCATATTTGTCAAAAACGTACAAATATGTAAACAAATGTTGTTGTTTATTACTGCGGATTGTTATACTGGTCCATCTAAAACAGATTATTTCTTCTCTTTCTTGAAAAACAGTAGTAATAATAATAATAATTCATTTGTAATGTGTCTTCTTAATACTCAAATGACTATCACATTGCAAAAAAGCAAAACAATATATGATACATAATAACAATTATTAAATATTAATGGTAAACGAATAGCAATAAAATAAATAGTAAAAGTAAGGAAAACTTATACAATATTTATACAATAGTTATACAATAATTGTTGTTGTTTATTACTGCAGATTGTTATATTTTTCAGTCTAAGCACAGATATAATAATAAGTATATATATCATCCTTTCTTCTGTTTCTTGACAAACAGTAATAATAAGAATAATAATAAAAATAATATAGCTACCAAGAGAAATACATAATGTATGATACAACAATTATTAAATATTAATGGAAAAATAAATAGTAATAGTAAGGAAAGCATGCCTTGATTATTTAAACTACAGTTTAACAGCATTTTATTTCTTGAATTTAATATTTGGAAATTATGTTTGGTTGAAATGAAACAAAACTTTCAATAAAACAAATCACTTTTTAAAGCCTTTTTATACACAACATGGAGAAGTGTATTGAATATTGTATATTCAGTTTTAATAGTTGTCTCATTTGTATCCACTTTAATTTCTTACAAGGAATTTTAGGAGAAATGTTTGAGACAAAGTTGATGCTTAAGTGAAACACGAGTGAAATCTTGAGCTCTAAACTGAGCAGTACAGCTGTCCTCTCATTGGCTTTGTTGTGTTCTGATCTTTATTCTATGCTGTATTGTTTTGTGGGGCAGGACAGTCCACCCCGACCTTCCCTAAACAGCTGAATGTTTCACTGAAGACTCATTAGAAACACGCCACACACACACACACACACACACACACACACACACACACACTGTCCCTCCCAGACATGCGGCTGCGGCTGTGTGTTCATACGCTCTTGCGCTGACTGTCTGCTGGACGCGCTGCACGCGGGATTCATGTGTGATGTGTTGAAGGAATGGCATGCCAGGGAACAGGTGTGTTTTGATATTTTCTCATCCTCACCTTTCTCTCTTTCTCTGTCAGTCTCAGTCTCTCCTGCTTTTCTTTGAATGAGTGGTTATACTCCTCTCTCATTCTGTTTGCATTATGTTGGCGTGACTAAACTTGGCTCAGGCAGTGCTTCATAACTGGTTCTGCCTCAGGACTCAGATTTTACATTGATCATTAACTGGCGACCCAACACAGAATCAAAACTGATTTAAAAAAAAATGATACTTCTGAATTCTAATTTGAATGAGCCACATTTGAGACGGTTGTAAAATGAATATAAGCACAATTGTGTTGAACATTATAATAATGTGTAAGGTGAGTGTAATAATGAACTACGCACTTAAAAGAAGACAAATTATTATAACAGATGTAACTTTCTATTTAACATTATTGAGTATTGGCGTATATATTTTATAAAAGCAATAAACCACACAAGCTTGTGTGTTACAGTGATTTTACCATGGTAAACGAGGCATCTCATGGATTATTGCTTTATTGCACCAGTGTAAACAAAATTAAATGTTCATTTTGATTTATTCATTATCTATCTATCTATCTATCTATCTATCTATCTATCTATCTATCTATCTATCTATCTATCTCTGTTGTTCGTACATTTGTTCTATCTATCTGTCTATCTATCTATATCTATCTATCTGTCTATCTGTCTATCTATCTATCTGTCTATGTGTCTATCTATCTGTTATTCGTACATTTGTACGTTTTCTATCTATCTATCTATCTATCTATCTATCTATCTATCTATCTATCTATCTATCTATCTATCTATCTATCTATCTATCTAAGTAAGGCCTAAATAGCCTTCAAATTAAAATCATCACACTTTAAGCAGTTTTACCTGTATCTCTTCTTGACAAATGTTCCTTTTCTAGCTCTCTGCGTCTCTCTCTCTCTCTCTCTCTCTCTCTTTCTGTGAGCTGTTAGCTGATTATATAGCACAGTGTGAGCTGGTTGATGTAGTTCGTGTCTCTGTCAGTCTGATCCTGAAGCGTCGTCTCCGTATGTAGCCATGCAGCAGCTCTAAAGGAAGACCGCAGGGTGATTTTATACGGCTAAGAGAACACAGAGAGAGATTGATGGCGCTCTGAGGGTGAGGCGTCATTTAAGATGTGTGGGAAATCACTTACGGAATTGTTGAATTTTCATGCGGAATCCATAATCATGATATAGTTGTCATGAGCAGCGGAAGATGTGAAGCTCATAATTAACTTTTTCTGTTGTGGTGAGCTAGTTTGCTGGTTTCACTTTACACTTGACTCAATTTCATGCTCTCTCTCGCTGTCTCTTTCTGTCTTTAGGGGGGTTAGGTCCAGATCTCGGCCCCCCTCCCTCAGTGGATGAGGCAGCAAACACGTTGATGACTCGTCTTGGCTTCCTACTCGGAGAAAAAGTGAGCGAGGGGTCTCAAGGGCCGCAGTACAGCATGGATGAGCCTGATGACGCACAGGTGGGTTATTCAACCTCACCTCCTGCTATAAATATACACGTCCTTAAGATATAAAAGAAACTCAGAAAGGCTGGATCTCACCTATTTCACCCTAAAAGCAAAGCCAAATAGTAGACATTCTGACATATTAAGAAAGTGAAGCTTGTTTAGGACCATTTTTTGCTGATTTTATTTATTGTGACATTAGATTCATGACAATTAAACACGTTTTTCCCCAAAATTACTGTAATGTTTCTAGATGTTTTACTTTGGAGTCTATCTGTAATTCTTGTTCTTCTTAGTCATGCTGTAAAGCGTTAATGTTTGTACCATAATACAATATATCATAATATTACAGTTTCTTTGGCCCATTTATTAAATCAGTCTTAATATTTTCTACATCGCAAGTGCATTTGTCACTGTTTAATGGGACAATTGCATGTGTGCAAATGACTTAATGACTTAAATGTTACTCACCCAAAATATTTGTCGTTCTTCAAAACCTTGTTACTGTGTCAATGAACTGGCCAATGCCACTAAAATAATTTAAATAATTGAATGGATCATTTTGCATATGATGGCTCACACACTGAAATAATGTTTAGAAGTTATGAAGAGTTTGACAGTTCACTGAGAATCCAAGCCATGTGCATCTAGTTCAGGGGTAGGCAACGTCGGTCCTGGAGTGCCGATGTCCAGCAGAGTTTAGATTAGGGCTGCATGATAAATTGCATGCGATGTTTAACGCGCATCTTATCAGTAAAGCCGGTTCTGTAATCAGCGGTAAATCTCCATCACCTGCGGGCTTTCACATTGAGCAGCATTAACTACACAGAG